TTCATCAGGTAGTGGTGATGCTCGTCGACGACAACCACCACCACCTGGTTTTCGAGATGATTTTACAAATTATGGAAACAATGGAGCAGGTAAAAAATATGATTAATTAAAATAAAAATTATAAATATTTTTTTTTCTTCTAATCAAGATTGTCATACTAATCAACGACAAAATGCTGCTGGAGGTGGTGCAACCAATTTTTTAACTGGTGCTGCACTTGGAGCTTTAGGTGGTTATGTATTCGGCAATCGACGGTAAATTAAAGTATTTATTTATATACATATATATTTCATAAAATATTTTTCTAGAGGTAATAATAATAATCAATATATGCCTAATACAGCAAATACTGGTTGGTTTGGTGGTGGAACAACAACTAATACAAATCGACATAGTCCATCACCATCATCAGGTGGTACTCATACTAGCAGTGGTAAGACAATTCTTATAGTTTATCTTTAATTCTATTTTTATTTCCAAGGTTTTGGTGGAACTACTCGTCGTTAAAATTCTGTAGAGCAAATAACGGCATTAAACTGTACTTAGCATCCTTCTCTTTGACTCTGAATCACATGCTTTATATTTTGAATCTTTTTTTTCTTTTTTTTTTTGTTTTGTTTTAATTTATATAAACAAGCGAAGTCAGGTGTTTTTTTTTATTAAATTGTACAGTTTAATTCTCGGCATTTGATAAACATAAAATTTTTATTCTTTCGAACAAAACATATTATTTTCTGCATAGAACTTTTTCACTTATGAATTAATTCAAACATTTTCTGATCAGATTTTTGTCTACTATGACTTTCTCTTATTCTACAATCAGCAAATATTCACTATCATGGATACTTTTTACTTTAGCTATCTCATCATTATAATATTATAATTTAAGATATTATTCTTGCGAAAAAATTAGAGATACTAAATGTATTCTATGAATTATTTGTTTGTTATTTAAATCGATGAATAGATAGAAATATAAATCAATGAATATCGTGATTGTTGGAAGAAAATTATTCAACTGATATGTGCAACATAATTCAACAAAATAACCATCGTATTTATTTGGTTAATATTTTACAATCTCAAAAAAAAAGTGAACTTGAAGATCTGATGAGATGATTCTAAAAACAATATATTTATTTAGTATTCATCGATAAAAATTGAAATATAATCGTTAACATTCGTATTTCTTTCAGTCATCATTTTTCTAATATGTATATTTTTTTTATCTTTTATAGTGTATAATATGTGAATTGTTTAGATTCTATATCTTTTCCGAATATAATACATTAGTTCATGTATTTATAAACGATACCATAGATTTTAAATTTAAGATATATATAGCCCTAAAGAGGGCTGTTGGGTTTTTATTTATAATATAAGAGTGATGTTATTCATCTTATTTAATTTTGAGCAGTAAGATAACCGCTTATGAACCAAAACCGTAGAGTGTACGACCTTGTCGTTTAAGTGCATAGACAACATCCATAGCTGTAACTGTTTTTCGTTTAGCATGTTCTGTGTATGTAACAGCATCCCGAATAACATTTTCAAGAAAGATTTTAAGAACACCACGAACTTCTTCATAGATTAAACCAGAAATACGTTTTACACCACCACGTCGAGCAAGACGACGGATAGCTGGTTTTGTAATACCTATGTAAGTAAAATAAAAAAAAATATGTTAATATATATGTATAACATAGAATAGAATAGACAATATACCTTGGATGTTATCACGCAAAACTTTACGATGGCGTTTAGCACCACCTTTACCAAGACCTTTACCACCTTTACCACGGCCGGACATTGTTTAATATATTTAAATTTGAAATAAAGAAGAAGAGGGTTCGATGAATATGAAGATAAAAACGAGTTAAACAACTGTTTTTATAGTCTACATATATCGAGCTATTGATTGGTGTATTAAGAAAACAAAGACTCATGCTATCCATTGGTCAGTTAGTGATGATATTAACGCGCCAATGATACATAGATGATCGCCTCCGTTATAAAAAGCGTTCGTTTTTCTTTCGTTTCTATATTCAAAAACATTTCATCGCTCTCATTCACACTTCTATTAAATATTCTTTAATATAATCAATGGCTCGTACAAAACAAACTGCTCGTAAATCAACTGGTGGTAAAGCTCCACGAAAACAATTAGCAACAAAAGCTGCAAGAAAATCAGCACCAGCTACAGGTGGTATTAAAAAACCACATCGTTTTCGTCCAGGTACCGTAGCTCTTCGAGAAATTCGTCGTTATCAAAAATCGACTGAATTACTTATTCGTAAATTACCATTTCAACGTTTGGTTCGTGAAATTGCTCAAGATTTCAAAACAGATCTTCGATTTCAATCATCCGCTATTATGGCTTTACAAGAAGCTTGTGAAGTAAGTTATTATTCATTTTTTTTCAACTAAAACAAATATTAATTTTCTTTTTTTTCTTTTCTATTATAGTCATACTTAGTTGGTCTCTTTGAAGATACTAACTTATGTGCAATTCATGCTAAACGTGTTACCATTATGCCAAAGGACATTCAATTGGCCCGCCGCATTCGTGGTGAACGCGCTTAAATAATATCAACGATGAAACAATGAGATGAATAACAT